AACCTCGTTCAAAGTAACGAGAAGAAAGTAGGAAGCTGGTTATCTAGTTTTTCCACTTTTCTTCTGATGAGGTAAAACCAACCGAGTCTGGCTGTCGATCGGTTAATATTTCCCTTCCTTCGTGTAAGAACGAGGCACAAGCGACGCGTTTACCACTGCGCCGGTCCCCGTTCGTTTTTTACGCACACGTGTTACTCAAAGCGTTCCGACAGGCATCGGCTGTAATTTATTGGTGCACGACGCGTCGGCATTATCCGGCGAATACAGCTTGTCGAAAGCAGCTACGGTACTGGAGGGAAAGAGGATGGGAGGAGATGGATGAGGTTCGACTGGGCAAGGAGCGCGCCTGTATAGAGTTTTACCAAGCTTTTGATGAACGGTTTATGTATCGATCGTTTTGAAGTCCGTTTTATTTTTTAGCACCGACACTTCCGATACGGAGCTGGATTCCGATACCGAAGAAGACGTTGATCCCAATAGCCAGCTGGGCGAATGGCTGGGACACCTGCAGAACCTGAGCCAGGTACGTAGTGGATATACTATAGTCATTTATCCCGACCCAACTGATCAGTGGTCACATTTTAGCATAATCTTCGTGTAACGAGATTATTTCTCGTATGTTGTTTCGTCATGCACAGTATGCGAAATATTTAAGGCAACACACTGAGGATAATAACTCGGGACAGGAAGACAAAACCTGTGATTTGACACGGGCACAAGTGCGATGTCTGCAGACTGCTACAGTAAGGACAGCGAAGTGGCAATGAACCGTCTGTTTTTCAAAAGCTGTGGTCAGCGCTAATCCTTAGAATAGCTTGGTATCATCAGTATTGGATGGACTACACCATTACCGTCACGGATAGTCTGTAGCTTGTCAGAGATCGTTTGGTTACCCTTGCATCTTGTTTCTCCCTGGTGCAAGAAACAAGCAAGTAAAGGGAACCAATGACTGTTTGAATGGATCCAATCAAAAAAGAAGCGATCAAGAAGAATAGCACTGAGGACGTGATTATTTGAAATGATTAAGTTTGTAAGTCAATTTCTACGTAGATGCGGGGTGTTTCAGATAGCATTTAATGGATATACTGTGGATAGTCATCAAGAGACTTTCCTCATACAAAATACTGAGACAGCTGACGGTGCTGACTTTATTATTCAACGGTTGGAACGAGTAGTTTATTTGAGCAATTTGACCAGCTGGGCATCAAGCAAGCTTTGCTATATGGTAAATGGTGAGTTTGTGATGTCGCATCTTAGAAGATTCAGCAGATCAGAGTGAAAATCTTAATTTGGATAATATTTGATGGAAATTTCGCAGGCACTACCAATTTATTTGGTCCTTTAAGTTATACGGTTTGTATGCACCGCTGTTTCCTCCTATTATGCGGTTAATGGAAGATCGTACTGTCCATGATGGACCAATGAATTTGGTGAATAACGAAGACACTGTACTAGTCTTTCTATTGCTGCTGTTGTTGTCTTCCGCGGCATATCTAAAAAACCTTTTTCAGCTTTATTTGTCAAATCTGAGACATGTATTTAAGAGAATTTGACAGTGTTACCCCGAAACACCAAAGCTACAGACGAACGAATCATGAGGAGAAAACAGAACTGGTTGTATAGGGGCAGGCACAAACTGAAACCTAAGCATGGTCCTTATCATATCAGTATCATGCAGTGAAGTTTGCGTTTAAGTGCTTGATTGTTTCCCAGCACACTTGCTGCTAAACGAAAGATACGAAAGGATGGTGAAATCGTCATGCTAAGCTGGGATATACCATATTACGTTATTTGAAGATCTGGTACTATAGAAGTCCTCTTGCACGACAGCAGATGAGCTACTCGCTCTTTGAAAGAAGAACATTGCCATGTGTACGAAAAATCGTTTAATATCAGTGATGATAGGCTGGTTTAAACCTCTCATTGCTTCAGTTTCATTCAACTTTTGGTAACAGATTTGCCTATCGTTGTGTCGCAAATGTAAGGACGTCCCCTGGTTGTTCATGTCTGGATCTGCAAGTCTTTAATGAGGTACATTTATTTCTGCTGGCGTTTCATGCGGTTCTTTCCATGATTATTTTGCTAGAGGAGGATTTATTCCATCTAACAAAATCATGCAATCACGTTTCCCTTCGATTGTTTCAGTTATGTCGTAGATTTTTGCCTTATAACCTTTTTGTTTGTTATTTGTGCTTGATAGTTGATTGCCAAGGTGTATCTTATATTAAGGGTTTCTGGGTGAGAGAACAAAGCCAGGTGAATCGTTATAGTGGTTATTTGAGGTTATTTTTGGCGCTACAACGCAGCGCATTGATAAAGAGGTCGGATTCAGACTCCGGAGCTGTTGGGTTCGAATCTGGACAAGGATAATTTTTACTTTATTCGCTAATTCCCTTAAGCAAGGTATTCACCCCATGTTCCTTCGATGCAGCTAGAGGAGAAGCACATAGCAAGTCGCTGATATGCGAACTACAAGGGCAACACTATATTCTGATGTGTTCATGCCAGAATGAACGAAAGGACAGCGGCGCTGTCAGATGATGGGGCAGCCATTCGCCTTGATCGATCTGAAAGCTGCTTATTCAGTTTAATAATCAGCAGGAGTAACCCCTGTTGCTCTTGTATTTAATAATCTTCATTTTGATTTCATAATTGATGATATCTGCTGTCCAAAATTCCCATAGTCTGTCAGACAAATGAAAACCG